CGATAATAAATGAAGACATATATAATTAGGCCACCATTAACAATAATCGCCCAAGTTTTTTGTGAAACTTTTTTTTGACAAATTTCCTGATGAAAACTACACATAACCAAACCTAACCTAACCAAACCAATTATAACGTAATATAAGTTAGGTTAGGTTATATTTAGTTAGGTTAGGTAAGGTTAAAAATATTTCGGAAAAATATTTAAAGTCGAATATTTCGACAAGTATTCGACATACATATATTTGGATTTCAAATTCGTTTTCAGCGTTGAATTCTACATCGAAATCGTATAAAACATTAATATATTTCGTTAAAAACTGCTTTTCGAACAAAAGTTCTAAGTCGAATAACTCGAAAAATATTCGACATAGAAAATTTTTGTTTTCATATTCGTTTTTAGCGTTGAATTTGACATTAAAATAAATTACTAAAATCGTGGGCGATTATTGTTAATGGTGGCCAAGTTTTGGCGGAAAAATAAGTTTTGGCGCAAAACTAAACGTTATTAATGCTAACAAAAGCTATTGGATGTGAGATTCACGTCACTGTGTTGTCAGTCATGCAATATGGCTGCTATAATATGTCAATAAACCATATAATGTTACAATCATGTCATGTGACGCACTGTAAGCCACACACTTCTTACGTATTATTTGCAGTCAATTCAAAGTCCTATTCGAAGGCATTTCATACTCATTACTCTTTATTAATAAAGTTATTGTTGTTAATTGTGTACGAAGTGTACCCTTTATTGTCTACTACTTGTGGTTACGATAGCTGGTGACCGCTCGCAAATCTACTCACTTATTATTTTATTCAAAAATTTCAATAAATATCAGAACTTATAATACAATTTTCTTAATTTATAATAAAAACATATTAATCAACATAATAAGTTTAATGATTATTATATGTTAACTATTTTATTGAGAAATAACGCTTAAATAAATAATTTAAAAGTAAAATTACTGTGAAGAGTACAGTTGCGTAAAATTAATAATAATTTTAAAATAACATAGTATTTATGACATTCAATTTTAAAGACTTTTATTATCCATCTAAGACAACAATTTCCAGAATTAAGCTAGGTCATTGTATTTAAGTGTTGTTACACACTTTTATCACATTAATGCATTGTATATTATAGCGTATATTAAATGTGTGTGATATGCATTTGGGATCGGTACTGTCAGTTTTCTTAGATAATGTTAAATCCCATTGAAAATAAAACTCAAGTTTTACTAAATGACTGACTTGCGCAGGCGCTGTATGAAAATACTGTATCATTTTCTTAAGCTAGTACCCTAATAACAAAATTTTATTTATATACAAAATAGGGCTACGATGCACACAACGTATATATTAAAAATATGCACTACAGTATACGACATGCGCGTAATACATGTACATTGGTTATTGCTGTTTATGCTACGAAAATAAACTTACGTATCGTGTACCATGGCCCAATTTTGTATAAAATCATGTTTTAATCGTACTTACAATTAACTAATTTAGATATAATTTTAAGAATATTAAAAGATAAAGATTTGTGAGGCATTCCTGCATTTTTTTTCAGCTGTTGGTTGTCATTGATTTTTAAATGATTTTTGAACACACATTGGGACAAAAGTGGGCCAAAGATGCAAAATAAGGGTTAAGGGTTGAGTTGACGTCAAGATAAGGGAAACAAATGTTTTGATTGTTTTGTGTATTTATTACACAATTAATACTCATTTTGTGTTTTATTACAATTGAAATGACTTTTGAAACACACGTCAAAACATTTGCCAAACAATGAATTCAATGCAAACGAAATTAGTTTTCATTTTCACAAAAATCGCTGCAATTTGTGACACATTTTTCAATCGATCGGTTGTTGTCGTCGACTAAATGCCCGAAGAATTGCCATTTTGTGCACATTTTGGTCACCAATTGATTACTTAAAGACATGTCAACAAACGAAACGCCCGGTTCTTCCTCAACGTCTTCGTATTCGTCGGCAAAAACTACTCCAAAGTCTTCGCCACTAAACAGAGCGACCGCTGAATCAAATGAACACAAATCACCCGAAGGCCACACTTCGGCCGAAGACAACGACCTCTCGAACGGCCGGAACAGTCATCAGAAGAGTAACGGCTCATCAAAACGGAGCGCATCCGACGACGCGGTGATCGCCATCCAGTCGTCGACGACTGCGAACTCCAGAGATAAGCCAAATCACGAACGAAGCAGATCTGATTGCGATGATCTCATTGAGACCACGAAGGCTCGCATGAACCACAAGTTCGACCAATTGGAAGAGGAGGAGGGACTCAAGTTGTGGACTAAAACCAGACAACAGTCGGCCCCCAATGAGCGCCGAGAAGAGACCATCGATGAACTGTCAGACGGAACTGTTGGCCGCGACGGCAGCGCAGAAAGGGCTCGAAGTTTGTCGATATCTGAGGTGAAAGAGCAGGCATTCAATCGGATGCGCTGTGAGTTGAGTCGGGCTCAGAATGAGCTGAAGTTGAAGGACGAAGAAGTGGCCAAATTGAGCCGTATTCGGCTCGAAGTGGAGGCAGAACTCGAGGATCTGACGGCCAGTCTGTTCGCCGAAGCGAATGATATGGTATATAACGCTAATGTGTTGCGAGCGAAGGCACAGAAAGAGTTATACGAAGCGAACCTCAAGATCGACGTCTTGCAGGCGGAGGTCCAGGCGCTGAAGCTATTGGTACTGACGTCTACGCCATCCAATCACTCGTCAGTTCGCGTCAATGGTGTCAAAGGTGTCAAAGGTTTGCTTAACAAACCCAAAGCCAACGCATCGCTGGCCAAGAAGTCTCCGAGCAATTACGAGTTGGGCGGCTCTGCGGCCGACAAATTGGACGCAATCGCACAAAACGATGTCCACAATTGCGCCCAAAACGCACTGAACAGCGCCGAGACCAACGACGTGATGAGCCAAGAGGTCGGCGAAGTTGATCCATCTTTTCACGAAGAGTTTCTCGAGTGGAAAAAGTCGCCCCATTTTGAGCCAATGAACAGCGAATTCATTAAACGAATTTACGACGAAGAGATTTACCCGGTGTTCAACTTCAAAGACAAAGACCTGACCGCACAGGTGTTGCGCGCCATTGAGGACAACACCATAATCATCGAAATGGTGGCCGACAAGAGTCCGTTCCCGAAACGGTGCGCACTGTTGGACGCGCCGCGCAGTTGTCGATATCGCATGAAAATCGACGACAATTGGCATAATATCTCACAGTTGTGTCGAAACAGAATTATAGCGGTTTGCGATCTCTTCTGTTATTTACGATACATAGAGAGAGGTCTCGTGAAGAGTAGCTTTCATGACGTCTACTGGGAAGTGATCCGCCGGCGGAGGAACATCGCTCTCTCCAGACTAGGCTTCTCTGCCTTTTAATCAATTACTAGTAATAGTCATCCACTTATGAACAACCGGTGCACACCATATGACTTACAACTCTTTCCCAACTGTTTTCCAGGAATAGATTTTTTTGATATTTTTATTCTTGAAATGTTTTTTTTCCAAAACAGAGACAATAGGCTCTTAATTGCAATAATTTCTTAAGAATGTCTTCTATTTGTTAGACCTATAGTTTTATTAGAGATTTTGCCAAAATATATATGATATACGTTTTTATGCCATTATTTTGGTATCAAAAAAGTGTCAAAGCGTGCAATGGGTGGGAATGGATGCGGGAATAGTGTATACCAATTGGTCACCGCTTCAAAGGTTATACATTTTTATTGCATAAATTTGTCGAAAACATTAAGTTTTCGGTGAGTTTTAAATCTGATGTAAAAGTATAGAGAATTTTTTGATATATTTTTGAATTCAAAACAATTTGAATACAAAAAGCAATTACTATTTAAAAGACGACTTATTGTAACAATTTTTGAATCAAATACTCCTTTTATTTTCTAAATATTTGTTAAATATTTCTGTTGAGAGATATGTTATATTAATTTATATTATATTGCTTTTGATGTATTAATAGTCTTAAGTTTATTTTCAATTGTTATAAATATTGTAAATTTAATTATATTTAATTCATATATAATAATATAATATAAGAATAAGTTAGGAATAAATTCTTGTCGTTGTTGTCAAATGAATGAATATTTTATGAAATGTGTTTCGCTATAATAAATATCAATAAATTAATGAAATTCATGTCCAATTCATATCCATTATTACATAATAGCGCTAATAATTGATTGATTAACAGCACAATGATTATTGCAAATATTGTTATTTAATATTTATTATGGATAACTTATTATCTAGTTCATTCCGGTTTATGAATAGGGTTGAAATAAACAGCATTTCTCAACCTAAACGGAAATGTATTAATAAATACAAATAACTCGTTATTTTAATTTATAAAGTATAAGAAATGAAAGTATTTTCCATAACATTTCGCTGTAAGTCATAAATCTGATGATCAATTGGCGCCTCTAATCACACATTTCTATAATCAAGTGTAAGATTTGCAACAATAAGTTGGAGGCGCTTATCAGAAGTTTCTATCCTTTCAAACCATTCACTCGTCTTTTTGTGACAAAAACAGTCCAACAAATGGCATCAAAAAGTGTGTATTTTGCCAAATCATTTAATATTAATTGTTTAAATCCAGGTAATATATTATATTTAACTTAATTTATATTATTAAACCCTAAACATAATAATAATTAACCATCAACCTGCTAAACCAACTAATGTATGTTAAGCAAAAAATGTATGATTTTAGACATATATTAATTAGATGCGGGTTTTAAGATAGAGGAGACCCCCTATTGTGCGACCGAATGATAAATATATAGAAATAATCAAAAGTTAATAAATTGTTAATTAAATGACAAACAATTTACTTAAAACGATAGCATTTAAAATTGACGCCAAAATTAATGGTTTTGAGTCAATCATATGAAACGTGTATTAATTGACGGGTTTGTCATTTGTCTTTTTGAGCCCTATTTATGAGTCAAACAAATGGCAAACAATAGGTTTTGAATGAAAGTCACGTAAAATTTAAAGAGTGTATCGAGACGTCGATTATGTAGTGAACAAGTGTTGACTCAAACACTCATTTCGTTTGCAATTTGTTTTGATTTTGAAAAAAACGACCGAAAAATCAAAAAATGTTTTTACGATTTATTTATCGGTTTTAATGTGTTTTTTAAATGACGACAACTTTTAACACAATTATAATTACATTAAATTAATTAATAATATATTGTTTGCCAAACAAATGGCAGAACTGAAGAAATGCGCCAACGATTTCATCTTCACGGGCTTCTTAGGCGAGGGATCCTTCTCTACCGTATGTATTGTCTTCAATTGATCACCATTTAGTTGATCCCATTGTCGCCATCCACTCCTATGTCTTTGCCAAGACATGGATTAATGGATTACACAATGAATTAGTGGTCTATTATGCGATTGTATTGAATGTTGTGTTTGTTTTTTGCTGTAATAATAGGTATATTTGGCAAAAGAGGTTCAGTCGAGTCGTGTCAACAATAGAGAGGTTGCGATCAAAGTGTGCGAAAAGCAGTTAATCCGGAGGGAGAAGAAGAGTTCCGCTATTCTTCGTGAGAAGAAATGTCTTCACACACTCACCACAAATCCGTCGAAATTATTCATTCAACTCTTGTGCACATTTCAAGACAATGACAGACTCTGTATGTGTTTTGTTGTGTCTAATGTTTGACTGATTTGTCTGTTTTATCAATTAACTAATTTTAATATATTTTAAAACCAGTTTTTGTCATGAATTACGCCAAAAACGGCGAATTACTGTCACTTATCAACCAAAGGGATGTCTTCGACGAGAACTGTTGCCGTTTTTATGCCGCAGAGATCCTCTTGGCTTTAGAGCATTTGCATAAATTAGGGATTGTCCACAGGTTTGGCCACCATTTCGGTCACATTATGTGATATTTCGATTACATGTCTAACACATGTATTTATTGCAGAGATTTAAAGCCCGAAAATATACTATTGAATGAGGAAATGCATATTCAAGTGACTGATTTTGGTTCCGCTCTTATCATGAGAGACAACGAGAGCGCCGAACAACAGCCGCAGCGACCGCTTCCCGAATCCCAGGCCTCTGTCGACGACCAAAACAATAGGCGTCGGAGGAACTCATTTGTGGGAACCGCTCATTACGTGTCGCCCGAAATGTTGAACAACAAGATCTCGACGCCGAGCTCTGACTTGTGGGCGTTTGCGTGTATTTTGTATCAAATGATTAGCGGTTCCACACCTTTTCGAGCGCCGAACGAATATTTAATATTTCAGAAAATAATTAATTTGGAGTTTGAATACACGGATGACTTCAGCGATGCGTCCAAAAGTCTAATTACGAGTATTTTGCAAAAGAATGCCTGCAATCGGTTGGGCGCTAACGATGACATACAACGAGACGGCTATTTGTCTATCAAATCGCACCCATATTTCGCTCCTTTGGCTAATAAATGGGCGAAACTTGAGGAGACGACTCCCCCGGTGTCGGCCTCAGTGGTGGTCAACAAGTCCGCCGCTCGCAACGAAAACCACAGTTCCAGCGCCACAGAGAACGTTGAGCCCGGATTGGCTGAGAAGCAAATCACTCGTATCATGGGTTTAGCACTTCATGAGGATTTCGATCGGACGACCATTAATGCAAAACCCGTCGGAATTCTCGATATATCGACACAAGAGATGCACAAAAGACTCGAAACACAACGAAAGAGCAATGAATTTCACCAATTCGTTGACGAAAACCTAATACTAAAACAGGGATACATTGAGAAGAAGAAAGGGCTGTTCGCACGCAAACGCATGTTTTTGCTGACCACTGGTCCGCACCTGTATTACGTGGACGCGGCAAATATGGTGCTCAAAGGACAGGTGCCCTTCTCGAAGGACATGAGACCCGAGGCAAAGAACTTCAAGAATTTTTTCATCCATACTGTGAGTGGATTGAGAATTGTGTTGATATGAGTTTGAAATGTTAATCACTTGTGAATTACAGCCCAACAGGTCTTATATACTGGAGGACACGTCGGGAAACGCTCCCGATTGGTGTAAAATCGTGGAAGAGGTTCGAGAGGCGACATACGGGCCGCCATCGCAACCCGACGAAAGCCCAACCAATACAAGTTCTCGTTTGTGTAACTCTAATGTATCGCTTCGTAAGATTAGCATAAATAACAAGAAAATAAGATAATATTAACTTATATTAGACTAGAAGTCACTATAAGTTATATAAATATATTAGATTTAAATCAATTATAACTAAATCAATGAATGCATCGACTTATATATAAAAGGCGATTAGTTTTTATATTATATATATTGTTATAAATAAGTTATATTTGGGATCACAATAATTATTGCAAACCATAACTGAAGCGTTAGTTTATTTTGTTTATATTTGGAAAATAATTAGAGTAATAATTTTATAGATATTTACTTCTTATTCCGTATTCTTTAAAAAGCATTATTTTATTATTTAAACAAAAAGCTTAGTATCCATTGTATTGTAGTTAAGGCTATCAGACATTGTGTTGGTTTTGTTTGTCCTGTTATTCTCCTTACAGCTCATCTCAACAATAGCTCTCATCCATCCATTCCTCATACTATACGCTACTAATTGACCAAAAATAGTATCATTTTTGGCTAGATTTCCAAACATCTCGATTCAAATTTACTGCATTTAATGCATTGTAGTCTAAAGTTTTTAGCTTATTGTGCACTCAATAATCTTAATCTTATTATAAAT